AATTGTATCAATACTATGACCTCCAATTCAAGTATGATGATAAGGCAAATTGTTTTAAACTTGTGTTTGTAAAAAACAAATATGACACAACCATTAACATACTTGACACAGGAGCTGAGTTAATTTGAGATTCTTTTAGAAAATAAGCTAAAACATTTAAGGTAAAACTTTCTTTACTCAAAATATTAATATTGGCAACTTAGTGTTTCTTAGGTCTCAGATACTGTGCTGTGGTAGATTAAATTAAACGTCACAAATTCTTTGCTACTTCTATTATTGAGAGTGGAGTCATTTCTTTCCCTGTTGACTCTGGGTTGGCCTTAGTGATTTGTGTGTCAAATAGAATGTGGCAGAAGTAACACTCTTGGACTTCTGAGACTTGATCGTAAGAAGCCTGGCAGCTTCAGCAGAGGTGTATTGGAACACTCATTCTTGGATCCCAGCTTCCATGCTGTAAGAAAGCCCCACGGAAAGACCACTATGGAGAGGGTCCGAGGCTCCTGACTGGTGGCCCTAGCTGAGCTCCCAGCTCACAGCCAGCACTGACCCACCAGCCATGTAGGTGAGCTCTTTTGGGAGTATATCCTCCAATCCCAGCAGATGACAAGAGGAGCAAGATGGGCTGATTCTACTGTGCTCTTCCACATTATTGACTTGTGACCAAGCTGGATGACTATGATTGCTTTAAGCATTAAGTCTGGGGATAGCCTATGACCAGAACATGTGCTAATAAGGGCTTTACAAATGTCATCTTAATTTATTCCTCACAATAATCTTATGAGGTAGCTATTATTATCCTTATTTTAAGATGACAGAGCTGAGGCACAATGAGTTTGCATAATAATCCAGGTCTGTCAACTCCAATTTAAAGATGGGTAGTTCTCCCAACTGACGAATATGACTTGACTTTATGATCCATCTTATTCACAAGACAACTTTTGAGTTAAAGAGGAAATCAAAACTAAAACTTAAGAACACCTGGAAAATAACAGTAACGATACTAACACATCTAAATGATTCAGCTTAAGCCGAACTCAGAATTAAGCCCATGTCTTAAATCTCACATTAATAATTTAGAAGGGGCCGGCCTGGTGGCGCACTGCGCTAGTGCGCTGCTTGGGAAGCGCGGTGGCGCTCCCGCCGAGGGTTCGGATCCCACATACAGACCGGTTCCCGCTCACTGGCTGAGCGAGGCGCGGGGGCAACACCGAGGGTTGTGATCCCGTGGCCAGTCCCGGTCCGGTGCGGGGGCGACACTGAGGGTTGCGAACCGTTGCCGGACACGGAAAAAGACCAAAAAAAAAAAAAAATAATAATTTAGAAGAAATAAATAAATGCTAACTCAAGGAGTTAGGGAAAAAAATTAAGGAAAGCAGAAAGTAGGAAATGTACTAAAGTGGAAACCCACCAATTAGAAAGAAAAAAAAAATTACAGAATAGAGACATCCAAGGCACAGCACACTGGTGGAAACAAAACACACATACAGTAAAAAAAGTAGGTCAACTGTTAGCTATGTTAATCAAGAAAATAAGGGAGCACGCATAATATGTTATAAGGGGGAAAAGACGTATGCATAGCAGAGGATGAGATCACTTTGCTCAACTCCAGGAAAATAAAGTTGAAAACTTGGATGAAATGGATGGTTCCTGATGCAAGATAAGATGTAAAAACTAAATGGACCAATTACCAACAAAGTTGTCCAAGTGCTGCCTGCCAAATACCCACCAGAATGAGATAATTTCACTGAAATCTTAAGGAACAGAAAATTCCAATGCTACTTAAACTGATCCAGAGCACTGGAAAAAGAGGAAAGTTTCCAAACCCTCCAGCATTAAATACAAAACTTTCTCAAAGATAACAGGTGCACATGCACACACATACACATACTAGTCTCACTGATAAATATGAATGCAAATATTGTAAAAATATAAAACAGTATATAGCAATATATTAAAAAATACACATGGCCAAGTAGAGTTTATTTCAAGAATACATGAATGATTCAAAACCACAAAATATATTAATAAAATTCATCATATTAAAGGATCAAAAGAATCATATGATCATCTCCACAGATGTTGAAAATGGCATGTGATAAAAATTCAACGTACATTCTTAAAAATTTTTAAAAAGTAGGAATCAGTAAATACTCCTTAATATGATTAAATGTTATCTACCTCAACCCAGTTCATTCTAGTCAAAGTTACTTAACATTATCCTAGAAGTACTGGACAATGCAATTAAACATGACACAAAGAAAGAGGTATGCAAACTGGAATGAAGGTTATTGTGTAGCTGGAAAACAAAATAATTAACTGAAATACTGTTAAAAACATAAATGAAGTCAGGGGACTGTGTAGAAAATTAACATAAACTTTTAGACTTTATGTATAATAAAATTATGCTAAATTTTAAACAGAAAACTTCATTAATAACAAAAAAACTTTTTAAGAATAAACTCTTAAAAAAGTACGAGATCTCTGTAAAGTAAAATGCATCTGGAAAAAACCAAGCCAAAAAAAAGGACTTAAATAGTCACCATTTTTAGATAGGGCACTATGATTTAGAATAAAAAGCTTCAACATAATAATGATGTTAAATTTCCCTAAGTTAATCTAGAAAATTAAAACTGTCCAAAGGGGGGAAAAAACAAATGTATGTATTTGTTTTGTGTATCAACAAGTTGATAATAAAGTTCAAATGGAATACTTAAAACATTTTAAAATTATAGTTATTAAAACAATGTAGAACTGGTATAAAAGGAGAAAGGCAGATCAATTGAAGATTAATTAGAATCTAGAAACATACCTAAATAATATGGAAATTTACTATATGACAAAAGTCCCATTTCAAATTAGTAAGAAAAGGATGTATTTTTAATAAACAGCTTTGGAAAAACTAGGCAGTCACCTGGAAAAAAAAAGTGAAACCCTAAATTCAGGACAGATCAATGATTTAAATGTAAAAAATCAAATAATGGAAATAGTCAACTTTACTTTTAATATTAAACTCTAATAACATATTTTCCCCCTTGAGAAAAGGTACAGAAAATATATACCCAGTAAGTTATGATTTGCATCACTGTATATGGCATTTATGAGGGTACTTCATAAAGTTCACAGAAAGATTGTATTATCTTTCAATTCTATTTTCCACAAACTTTTTGAAGTACTCTCATATATATATATATATATATGAAAACATTTATGTATGTATATGGTATTTCTGGAAGGATATACAAGAATCTGGTATTGGTATGTCTCTCTTTGAAAGGGAACTAAAAGATGGGTGTAAGAGGTAGGAGAGGGATTTACTTTTTACTGTTTGAACCAGGAAAATGTATTAATTAAAAAAAAAAAAAAAAAGCACATGCCAGAAAACAAAACCAAAAACCCTGTATCTTATATAGTATATTATTAGTAGGACCTAAAAGATTAATCTGGTAACCCAAATTCTGCCATTAAAATCTTCTGTAGGGGTCTGAACTGTATGTGAAAATAACATAAGAGAACTGATTGTGTTGTTACCGTGTCTTACAAGACATATCAATTAAGAGGCAATTTTCTGAAGGCAAAATAATATCCAGGTCCTTTGGGAATTTTACCCTGGAGTACTGGTATGGATAAGCTATTACTTTACTATAAAGTAGTTAAGGAAGAATACCCTTCCTTTCATTTTTCTTCTAGACATATTGCATATTTTATGGCCTGAATCTGTATATACGCGAAAGTCCAAAAAAATAAAAAAACGACTTTGATTTAAAAAGTATCTCAAAGCAATAGAAAAAAATCATTTTAATTTTTGATACATATTAAAACATTTTAGTCAGTTCTTCCTGACAGCATAACACGACAAATACACAAGACCTCAAACATGCTTTAAAATGACATTCAGCAAAATATTTAAAATTTAATAAATAGCAATAATCACACACAGATACATTTTTCATACTCAATCATTAAGCTACTAAAACAGACACCTGAAGAATAAATAAATAGGAATTGACAATAATAAAAATATGCTGGATTTTGCAATTCATTCTACCTAAAAAAGAGGGGTGATCTGAATGATTTCTTAATTTGCTTTTCTTCAAGATTGTAGCATGATACCCCCATGAATAAAATATATTGAAAAAAATCACTTACAATAATGCAGCTTTAAATACAACTAATAAATATGAAACCAGCACAGCATTTTCAAGTTGTAATAAAAAACGCCCTCCCCACCCCCCATAAAAGCTATGGAAATATATAGTCATTGTGGTAGCAAATAATAGTATTTAAAGTGATAGTGCTTGTGCACTAAACTCATCTGAGACCTTGATACGATTTTAGTGCAAATCCCTAGGGTCCAATACAACCATAACCCTATATTAGGGAAAGACATTACCAGTTGGAACTTATCTTGTACAATTTTTGTACATATTTTATAAAGTTCAAGATTTAATGCATAGTAGAATATCTTCATCTGCTTAATGATGTCTTTAAATAGAGATGAAACAAGAAATGACTTGGGATGTTACCATTTGGTTTGTACCATATTAGAGTATTAAAGTCAACATTAGAAAATCTATAAAAGAGTTTTGTTTCTGCCATTAATTTATCTAATTCTACCTAAAATTTACATCACTGCATTTAAACATAAAGGAAAAATTTTTAGAGAAAGTTTTCTTCCCTTTGACAAGTTCACATTATGATAAAATCCAATAATAGACAAATTGTTATACAAACAAAAACACAGGTGAGTATAAGGATTTTTTTTTGTATATTAACAACCTAATATCTAGTATATTAAGTTACAAGATGTGTTGGCAAAAGCATAAAAGGTTCAATTAAAAGGAGGTACTATTTTGTTATAGCACTACACAATAGTATACAGACATTTGGATTTCTTCTCAACCTTTCAGCAGCAATGTTTCTACCGTGAACTACAGTACCAGGATAAAAACAATTAGTAACAAATGAAAGAACATTATTGAACAATATGAATATATAATGCATTTTTAGCTGCTAAAATAGTAAACTCTAAGTTCATAGAGTTACAAGTTGTTTAATTTAACCATGCGGGCTAACATATAATAAGAAATCACCCTGCATCTTTTTTTCTTTTAAACTAAAACTAGTTTAATTGTAAAGTTACAAAAAAATGAATGGATATTGCTCCAACCTGTACACAATCTCCCTTATGTGATTTGTACCTAACAAAGTAACAAAGCCTCATCATCACTCGTTTCATTTTTCATTGTTGCTTCTAAGCAAGTGTGTGGTATCTGGGCAGTGTGGACAATTCCACAGCGCTCACAGGGGCCATCTCGATTACTTGGCCTTACTCCAGGGTTTGTTGCACTATATTGTTGTCTAAACCCTTGTCCTTGATCTGAGGCAAGATCAAGAAGAGGTCTGGAGCAGTCATTCACATCAAAGTCTGAAGCTCCATCAGCAACTGGAATTAGCATTTCAACATCATCATCTTCTTCTCTTCCATTTACCCCATTATCAAGTTGTCTCAAAGGACTCTGGTTCTGATTTATGGAGCTTGATCGCCCTAATGTAAAACGTACCCAACGTAGCCCCCGAGTCACACGACTTAGTGCGCTTGTAAGCTGGTGACTTGCTGGACTCACACTTGGGGGTTCCACACTTGTCACATCCCTTCCATTTTCTGCAGGACCACCTCGAGTAGTCTGGGTTGAGGAACTTCCACATGCTCCTATTGCTGCTTCTACTGCTGTTGTGGGAGGGACTTTTTGGGGCAAAGGAGCTGCAACGCCACCAGATGCTCCTGCTGCATCTCTTCTCTCATTTTCTGTGTCTGTATCATCAGACTCCATGGAAAACAAACTTCTGTGAGTATGACTTCTTTCAGATTCTCTGCTGGTACTCTGACTAGGGACAACCTCATCTCCATCTGCTGAAACCAAAGCCAATGACCCTGAATGACGTGATCTTGCAAAATTAAAAATACGATTCCAAATGTTGCTGGATCTGCCTGCCATAGGAAGTCTGACTGAAGTAAATCCAAGCTGAGATCGTACAGCTAGCCTCAGATTTTCCAAAACAGAAGCCTGTAATAATAAGAAAAGATCGTAAGATAGCTAACAACAAGGTATTAAGATGCAAGACACCCTTCTCTTAAAAATGTTTTGTGGCTAAAAATTCTACTACTCGTTATCAGGGTCTATGGAAGACATATTAAGTTATCTCACCTATACAGGTTCATCCCACTATAGAATCTAATCTATAACTTGAATCACTGCTCACTGTGTTTAAGATTTTTTGGAGGGACAGCTTGTTGGTATGGAAATCAAAACCCTTGACCTCAGTGTTACCAGCACCATGCTGTAACCAACTGAGCTAACTGGCCAGCCCTGTTTAAGATTTTCTTGAAACTTCATTTTTTATAGACAACTTTAATATTTAATGTCAGTTTTAAGTTATTTTGTTTTAAAATCTCACACAGTAATCCAATCCTAAAGGCGTATCAAAGATAGAAAATAAAATTATTTGATACTTCTACAACTAGGAAGGTAGAAAAATCTCCAACACAATTCACTAAGTGACTTAAGGAATATGAAAACCAGGTCCTTATCTGTTTTTTTTTAAAACATAGAACAAATTAGACTTGATTTATAAGGCTGAAACTTTCCAAAACATGTCAAAATTGGTTCTCAAAAGATTTACTGAATGAATGGATACTGAGGATTTAATTATATTGCCATAAATAAAGGAATTAATAAATTTGTTACACAGCACAGAAAATAAAAAACAGGAAAGCTAAAAAAAATTTACTTGTTTATAGCACTACACAATAGTATACAGACATTTGGATTTCTTCTCAACCTTTATTAAGATTTTTTTCTTTTTTTTTTTGACCACTGGTTGGTATGGGGATCTGAACCCTAAACATGTTTTACTTTCTACAGTTTAGTATTAAATATAAAATACCGTCATCATTCTTTGAAACCTGGTGATTTTTAAGTAGTACATATGGAAAATAACCTTAAAAAAAAAAAAAAAAAACTATAGCATTTACATAAAGTAGTCTTTAAGCTCCACCTAGTGGTTATAAAAAGGAGTATTCAAACTTGAAACAGCTTTTATCAACCTGGCATTTAGTGTATTTAAAATAGAGTATTTCCAAACGATGGTAGTTTCCCTCTGCTAAAACTCAGGCCTCTTTCTTTTACCCTCACAGAAAAAAGAAGTGAATAGAAAATGGAAGATGTGAAGCTTATGTTTTCCATCTCTGGGACTGGTATTGCAATTATTTGTGATTTCCATATAGGCCTTTCCACAGTGCTGGGAACATAATTCACGGAAAGCTAAGAAGATATTATCATAGAAATATTTCATAGTCTAGCTTTAATAAAACACAGACTGTCAATAAGAAATTTGGGTATCAGCACACATGGAATTGTTATGCAAATAAGAAATATTTTTCACCAATTAAGAGGTATCTAAATTTAGAAAAACAAAACAACAAAACAAAAACTACTTGTTCGCATCCCTAATGAACTTCATAGATTTGGTACTCAGCATTCAAGTTGTAAGGCTCTGTGTGAGCACTATGTTATTATATCCAGCAATGAACAAAAGTCTCTTCAGATATCCCTCTATGTTATGCAGCTATCGCCAGCAAGGTCAAAAATGCCTTCGGCATACTTTAATGCCAACTTTAATGTTATAGTTTATCATAGTGAGGTGAAGCTCTCTACTTAGTTAAAAAGTCTGTTTAATTAAAAGGTTGCCAATCTAAGATTCTATGAGGAGACTTTAAGAATGTTTTGGAAATAATTTTTTTTGTCTTTTGTCTTTTTTCCGTGTCTGGCAACGGATCGCAACCCTCAGTGTTGCCCCCGTACCGGACCGGGGACCGGCAACGGGATTGCAACCCTCGGTGTTGCTCCCGCGCCTCGCTCAGCCAGTGAGCGGGAACCGGTCTGTATGTGGGATCCGAACCCTCGGGCGGGAGCGCCGCCGCGCTTCCCAAGCGGCGCACTATCCAGTGCGCCACCGGGCCGGCCCTGGAAATAATTTTTATATACTTCTTCAGTTTACTCAGAAAGCATTTTTATTTTGAGTGAGATAGTAAATTACAAGATTATTTTTCTTTTTAAAAACTGCTATGGAAATTTAATAATTTGTTACAAAAAGTTTCAAACTTGAGAGTTTTACTCTCATTAATGAATAAAATCTAGCTTACTATTCATAAACACATTTTATTTTTAAATGCTGTTGAAGTAGAATTCTCACACAACATTAATCTTAGGGTCCTTGTCTTACCTTACATACAGGCATAGATTTCATTTTAAGAGGTACTGACATAGAGATCATAAATTACAATATACCTGATTAGGCGAACAAACAGGAAAGTCTTCAACTGGTGGTATTAAACCCTGAGCGATCAATTGTCCATAAGAGGGAGGGGCTTCTCTTCTTAACAATTCTGCTTCCACTCTTGACAACTGTGTTTCAAAAGACCTTCGAGAACAGACGGTGGCAAAAAACAGTTAAAAAAGGGGGCAAGGCAAAACAATAATTTTCAACTCGTAGTAATTAAAACAATCTATGAGTATAGCTGATCATTTTTAAAAGTTAGTCATTCAACGAATATTTACTGAATATTTACTGAATATATGTAGGTATAACCTACATATAACCTACATATAACCAACGAATATTTACTGAATATATGTAGGTATAACCCTACATTGGGAATACAAAGATGAAGCAGTCTGCCTGTCTTCATGGGGCTTTACACTAGTAGAACCCTAGGTCACTAAGTTTTAATAAATTGGAAATCCCTTTATAATACTAGAAATAAAAATACTAGATTTTTAATCCCCGAAGAATATGCGGTTGGGCGGGGGGCAGACTTTAGGTGACAATATTTGAAAGTTCTCAGGAGATGCTTTATTCATTACATCCAATGCATTTATTTGTCAGATAAGAACGTGAAATGAATCACCAAAACTTTTTAGGATAGCTGGTTCTTGAACTCAGGACCTCTGACTCTTCATTGTGCTCTTTTGTTGCAATGTGATAAATTTTCTGGCCATTTTTTCTTGCTCAAAGAAAAGATGCAGCGATTATTATAATACTGTCATCTGTGTGCCATCTTAGCTGTCTGGTAGGTAAAGTTCTTTGTTAAATGTATTATTTGTAACTAACCTGGGAGTGAAGGTCATTGTCTCCCCAACAGCCTTCTGGGGACCTGACATTAACTTCCCACAGGTCCAAGTTATCCTGCATCATGCTGAAAACTACTGTCTCGGAAAGTCATTCTTTAATAGTTAACTGTTTCTCAACGAACTAAGAACTCTGAAGTGTGGCTCTTACTGAAGTCTACAGCATGACATTAGCCTTGTGCCCCAGTCTTATCTCCTATTAGTCCTTCATAAGTGTCTTTGGCTCCAGATAAGTTGAACATGTGCTCACTCTAAGCACTGCTGGGCATTCCTACTTCTATTTTCCTTTTTCTTTCTTTCTTTTTTTTTTTAACTACAACACCTTTTTCCTATCTACATTCTACTCATACATTTCATTGGCACCTCACCAATTAAAGCCTTTCCACATCCTCCCATTAGATAAGGTACTTTTGACTTTTATTCCAGTTAGTTTTACAGTTCTTACAGAACTTATACTCCTGTCTTCTTACTCCCATGCACCAATTCTTTCCTCATAATTGTAAACTGCTTGTGCTATTATTCACTTTTCTATTCACCTGTATAGTGCTTTGAACACAGTTCTCAAATATCTGGAATTGTTGAATTGATATGAGGGCACTTCAAAAAGTTCATGGAAGGATTCGTAATATCTTTTCTTCTTGAAGTATTGTTTTTTAATTCTATTTTCCATAAACTTTTTGAAGTATCCTTGTACTTATAAAAACACAGGGTAAAAAACTACAACTGAGAGTTGAAGCTTACAAAATTCTGATAATACAGATTAATCTGAGAACAGGAGCTGGTAAATATAAATTGGCCTTTCTCGCATCATAACTAAGCATTAGTTTGTAAAGTTTTTAGCCTTTTGAGTCTTGGGCTTTTCACACTAGTCTTATAAATCATAAACAATATTTATCCATTTATAAACTAATATAAAATAAAAATACATTGCTAATCATTAAAGTAGTTGTTTAAAATATTTGGGCCATGCTTTTACTGTACAGAGCAAAACCACTATCGTTTTGTTTTGATACTGACCTTCGTTCAAACATTCTCAGAGAATAAAGCTTACAAGTACATCCCAGTGCAATGACGAGTAACAAGCCACAAATAAGGCTCCCTATGACGGCTGCAGTTATGACTCTGGTAGGCACAATTACTGGGCAGTTCTCCTCATCGCTCCCATCACCACAGTCATCTTGAGGATCACATACCCAGCTTTCAAACACACAACGATTATTTTTACAATGAAAATTTCCTGGCTGGCAAAAGAAGCAGTTTTTTTCATCTGATCCATTTGGGCAATGATTCTGATAGTTGCAGCGATCAGAACGAGGATAACACACACCATTTCGGGAACATGGAAATTCTTCCTTTTGGCACATGGTACAATTGATTTCATCCCTTCCATTTGGGCAATGCCAATATCCATCACAATGCTGCTGCTCAGTATAACACCCCCAGTTACCTCCGCAGGGTATTTCCCATGGCAAACAGAAGCCATCTACTTGGTAAGTAGCATTAAATCCCCTTGCAGCGTTCACTTTATCGGCACAAAAATGTACCCTTATCTGTCCAGAAGAAGAAACAACTGTAAGAGGTGCATGAGAATCAAAAGCAGTTAACACACGCAGAAGCTTGTGTGGATTTTCCTCTAATCCATCATATATTTTGACATAGTCACCATAACCAGTACCATCAAGTTTAAAGTCAGTGAAGCGCAAAATGACTTTACGATGATCACCAGTGTCTATTAACCAAGTGCAATTGCTTCCAGGAGGATAAAAGTCTGGATAATTGGGAGAATTGAAAGTACCATAAAAATATTTTAACCATTGCCCACAAGTTGGCACGTCACAGTCTATCTCATCTCCTAGGTCGAGGCAGTCAATGTTCCCATCACATTTTAAGGATTCAGGGAGGCAAGTGTAAACTTTGGTGAAACGGGAAAGACACTGGAACTGGTTGTAAGCACAGGGCTGAAAAGCAGCAGCTGTTGGAGGATTAGCTTCCTTGGCACAGATCTCTTCATCAGAACTATCTCCACACTCATCCATGTTATTGCATTTCCAGGCTTCTGGTATACACTTTCCATTACCACAACGAAACTGATCACAAGAACAGTTTGGTTCCTCAGATTTCCCTGGGAGGATGTGGATAGGAGAGAGACGGAGAGGGAAGCAGAAAAAACATACTCCTCAAAAGATATATAACAGCAAGTGGTATTTTCATAATAAACAATTAGGCCCAAGTGATAGGGGTTAAAATAACCTTATTTTAAAAAATGGGTTAAGTTCTAATGACAAAGTAGTACTGGCACATCAATTACTCAATAATTCGATTTATTGAATGCTCATTACTTGTTCCATAAAGCTCTTTGTATTTTGATCTAAAGGGAGAAGGGACCAATTCTGCTTTTGCAGACAGCTATTTTACTGCAGAACATTTAATAAAATGATGTAAGATACACAAGCCAATAAGACATATTGCCTAAGAATTTTAAATAACTCTTTCATAAACACCATTAAAACAATGATAGACATTTTTTAATGAAGAAAAATTTATCTACAACAATCACCTGTTCAAATAATTTTTTCATAATGTTCTGTAGTTCTTGTCTCTCTCTATACGTATGTATACATAAATATATATATATATATATACATACACACACAATTTTGCTATATACATGATAGTGTATTTTGCAAGCCCATTATTTAGACTCAAACTTTTGCCAAGACTATCATAAGATCAACTTTATACTGTTTATAATGTTTCATGTAATCATAAAACAGTATTTCTAATTTATAATTTCTATTGTTTTAACATGACTGCAAAATACTACATGAATCTGAGCTAAAGGTACATACATTTATTCATCAAAATAAAAGGAAGGGGACAAAAAAATTGAGGTGCTTACAGAATTCTAATTACCTTTGTATACCATACTAAATATATAACAATAATGAGGTAGGGAAAGGCAACCAAACAACATTAGATTCCTGCAGTACCCAAATTGACAATTTGGGGCCAGTACTTACTTTTCATCAACAACTTATTTATCAGTAAATAGGTGATAAATAGGTAATTAAATATTACCAAGACCTTGTTTTTAAGAAAAAAGATAAAAAGCATATGTTTGCTAAAGGAGACTATGTAATCTCAAAAGATGCAAAATAATTTTTAGCAAAAAAATATACATAACTCTAATGCTCTGGATTATTCATTTTTGTATAATCTGGTCACCTTTTTTTGGATACAGTTGAAGAAAAGCAAAAGATAACTTTTCTTTTTCTGAGACTAAACTATGAAGATGAAACTGGTTATGCTTTATTTTTGAAGGTGTAAAAACAATGGTAATTCACACACAAAAAATATATTCTAAAGTAACTTTCAGGATATGGGTAAGCACTTGAGGGAAAAAACTACTTGCAACATAAAAAAATGCATTTTAAAAATAAATGCATTCGAGATGTTTAGTTTTTGAAATTAATTATTTTATTAGGATTATATAAAACATCCTTTGGAAATCCAGCCCCAGAACACCTGATTTTAGCATCTAATCCTCAAACTCAGCTGCCTTGAGGGCCTAGTCATAATTAAATGGACGTTTTGAAATTAGCTTCAAAGTGACTGAGCAGTTAAAAATCATAAAATTCGGTTCAATATTTTTCTTATTACTTAAAAACACACCTGAAAAATATGCCAGTCTGAAACCCTTTCTAGAGATGCTGTCGTCTGAATGAAACCTGATCCAGACATGATCTTGTGAAGAGATATATGGAGGTGGAATTGTGGAACCACAAGCTCTGTAACTTTCAATATTCTTGTATGTTTCTATCGTCAACCAGTCCAAACTGCATCTTCTGGACCCTTGAATATCAAAATCCTGAAAACTATACACACACAGAAAAGTTATGAAAGACTATTAATAAAGTAATTTTGGAAAAAAATTCATAATAAGAAAATGTAACTGAGGACATTATTATAAGCCTCCATACATTCACTGGTTTTCCTGAATTTTCCAGGCCTACGATCTTATCATCAACAAATAATAATACCACTTCTGTGTTCCTAATATTTGTATCTCTTTTCCAGGTTCCAGAACCTTCACATTCCTTCTGCATAAGTAATACCAGATTCCAAAATAATGCTAAAAAAACAGGTGATAGTTGGCACCTTTTTCTTTTTCTTCTCCATGTGTGTTTATTTAGGAAAGACCACTTCTAATTCAAAATATCCTAAATTGTTCTGTGTTGGAACCAGAAAACTACTTCATAATTTGATGAACTGAAGAACACACAGAGAAAGTCAGCCTTCTCTTACATTAGATTAGTACATCTGCTTGCTTAATGAAAAGTTTGTAGCATACATTTTCAGGAGAACAAACTGCACAAAATCTGAATAGAATAAAAAAAAATTAAAAGTTAACAAACAAAAAAACATTTTCAGTGAAAAGTCCCTAAGTTTGGGGATACTTTTTACATAAATCACTTTAGATCTAAATCTCTTATAGTTCATAAAATATGGGCATAAGTAGAGGACAAAAAAGTCAAATGAATAAAAGTACATATAAAATTAGTATCTGCTTGTGAAAAAAGAGAAGCCAAAATATAATTTTCCAGTATCTGAACAGGTCTCATCAAAAAGTGATCTGACTTTATCTTCTTGCCTCTGCCTTAAACTAAGTAATAATGCAATTATCCAAGGATTATTATATCAGGATATTTCCTCTTTAAATATTCTGAATAGCTGTAACAAAAGCTGATAGACCTTCCAGTCTGGAAATTTGTTTCCAGTTTTTCACTATCATGAAGGATGATTTTGAATCCTTATACAATACATGTGTCTCTCTCTCTCATACACATGAGCAAGTATTTTTCTAGGACAGTTTTCTAGAAGTAATATTCCTGTGTTAAAAGATGATTCCTTTTTAAATTTAACAGACACTGACATAAAATATTCATACTAATTCACAATTCCACCAAGTATGTATCAAACTACCCTATAACCCACACCTCTAGCAAAATGAGGTATTCTATTTTTTAAAAATGTATTGCCAATTAGGTGGACAAAAGATTTATTGTTCTATTTTGCATTTCCATATTTACTGATACTGAAATACCTTTTCCTATGTTTATTGGCTATTTTTATTTCTTTTCCTGTGAATTGCCTTGTTACAGTCTTCATTCATTGAAATTTTTTCTTATTTACTTAAGAACTTTTTATATATTATAAACATGGACTTAGTTGGGGGAATGTCTGTTATGCATGGCATGTGTACATGTACCCATACCCACATTCTCTCCAGTAGTTGATGTGGTTTGTCTTTTTCATTTTAATAATTGGTGGGTGTGAAATGGAATCTCTTATGTGGTTTTTAGTGCACTTCCCTTGAGACTAATTACGTTGCACATCTTTTCATATGCTTATGGGCCACTCATATCTTCTGTGAAGTGTCTGTTCTTCTGCCCATTTTTTAAAAATTGGTTGTCTTTTTGAGTTATAAAAATTCTTTTTATATTCTGGATTCAGGCCCTTTATTTGATATGTGTATTACTAGTCTTTTCTTCCAGTCTATAAGTTCGCCTTTTCATTTTCATAATGGAATCTTTTAATGTGAAAAAGTTTTTAATTTTAGTTTTGATGAAGTCTAATTTATTATTTTTTCCTTTATGTTTTAGCGCTTTTAGTGGATACCTTTGCCTACCCTAAGATCCCAAAGATAATTCAACAATTTTTTTCTTATATTTTAGAGTTTTAGTTTTTACATCTATACCTAGGATTTATCTTGAACTACTTTTTGTGTGTTCTCAAGTAGGGGTCAAGATCTTTCTTTTTCTTCTTACATTTATCTAGAAAATAGAATATACTAATTTTTGTTCTACCACACAGTTAAAATACTATCTGATTACCCTGAACTTACGGAGGTTTGGTTTTA